TAAATTTATATATATAAATATATATAAATATATAAAAATACATAAATATATAAAAACACATATAAAGTATATAAAATATATATAAAAATATATAAAAAATAAATAAAACATAAAATACATTTGAAAATATAAATATATAAAAATAGATAAATATATAAAAAATATATATAAAAATATATATAAAATATAAAAAAATATATGAAAAAATATAAAACATATAAAATATATTTAAATATATAAACATATAAAAATATATAAAAATATAAAAATGCATATAAAATACATATAAAAATATACAAAAATATATGAAACATATAAAATACTTTTGAAAATATAAATATATAAAAATACATAAATATATAAAATATATATATAAAATATATATAAAAATATATGAAAATATATAAAACATAAAATATATTTAAATATATAACCATATAAAAATACATAAATATATAAAAATTATATGAAACATATAAAATATATTTAAATATATAAATATATAAAAATACATAAATATATAAAAATACATATATATATATAAAAATACATGTATATATATAAAAATACATATAAAAATAAATAAAAAATCTGTATAAAATCCCCCCGGGCCGTACCTGATCTCCCCGAACTGCTGCCCCTCGGCCTCCAGGTCCCAGAGTTTGACGGTGCTGTCCCAGGAGCCGGAGCAGACTCGGGCCCCGCGCGCGGCCAAGCACCAAACCCAGCCCTGGGGGGACCCCAAAGTGCTGCGGGACCCCCCCGAACAGCTCGGGGAGGGGGCGGGGGGGGGAGTTTCCAGCCCACCTTGTGCGTCCCGCTGCGCCCCGAGCCCAGAGCCTTGACCAGAACCTTCCCGGGGGGGCCCCGGCCCAGCTCCCGCAGGTCCCAAAGGTTCACGTTGCGGTCGCGGCCCCCGGAGACGCACAGGGAGCCCCCCTGGATGGGGGGGGGACACGGTGAGAGGGGGAAAACCCCCTGGGAGCCCCCCCAGGACACACAGGGAGCCCCCCTGGATCGGGGGGGACACGGGTGAGAGGGGAAAAACCCCCTGGGAGCCCCCCTGGATCGGGGGGGACACAGTGATAGGGGAAAAACCCCCTGGATTGGGGAGGGGGACACGGGTGAGAGGGGAAAATCCCCTGGGAGCCCCCCTAGAGTGGGGGTGACACGGGTGAGAGAGGAAAACGCCCTGGGAGCCCCCCTGGATTGGGGGGGAACAGGTGAAAGGGGAAAAAACCCCAGGGAGCCCCCCTGGATTGGGGGGGACACGGTGATAGGGGAAAAACCCCCTGGATTGGGGAGGGGGACACGGGTGAGAGGGGAAAAGCCCCCTGGACTGGGGAGGGGGACACGGGTGAGAGGGGAAAAACCCCTGGGAGCCCCCCTAGATTGGGGAGGGACACGGGTGAGAGGAGAAACCCCCCTGGGAGCCCCCCGGAATTGGGGAGGGGGAACAGGTGAAAGGGGAAAAAACCCCTGAGAGCCCCCCTGGATTCGGGGGGGGGGACAGGTGAGGTGGAAACCCCTCTGGGATCTCCCCTTGGAAGTGAGGGGGGGGGGTGACAGGTGAGGGGGGAAGCCCCCCCTGGGAGGGGGGGGGGATCCAGGGGACCTCCTCCCTCCCCCCCCGGGATCCAAGGACCCTCCCCCGGGATCCAGGGGACCTCCTCCCTCCCTCCCCTGGGATCCAGGGACCCTCCCTCGGGGATCCAGCCCCCCCTGCTCCCCCCCCCGGGGGTCCCACCTGGAGCAGCAGGACGGAGTCCACGGAGGCGAAGTGCCCCTCGTCCAGGGAGAAGTGCTCCATGGGGGCCCCCCCGGCCCCCCAGCGCTCCAGGTGCTCCTCCAGGTCCTCGCACGCGGCCGCCCAGTCGAACCCCGACTCTGAGGGGGGGTCCCGAAAACGGGGGGGGGCCCAAAGTGTCATGGGGGGACTCGGGAGGGCACGGGAGGGTCCCCCAGAGACACCTCGGGGGGAGAATGGGGGGCACAGGGGGGAATGGGGGGGGAAAGGGGGAGTCCCCAAGGTCCCCATTTCCACCCCTGACCCCCCTCAGTGTCAGACCCACAAATACTGGGGGGGGGGGGGTCCCCAAGGTCCCCATTTCCACCCCCGAACCCCCCTCAGTGTGTCAGACCCACAAATACCGGGGGGGGGGTCCCCCCAAGATCCCCATTTCCACCCCCGAGCCCCCCTCAGAGTGTCAGACCCACAAACATTTGGGGGAGGGGTCCCCAAGGTCCCCATTTCCACCCCCGAACCCCCCTCAGTGTGTCAGACCCACAAATACCAGGGGGGGTCCCCAAGATCCCCATTTCCACCCCTGACCCCCCACAGAGCATCCAAACCCACAAACAGTGGGAAAAGGGGGGGTCCCCAAGGTCCCCATTTCCACCCCCGAACCCCCCTTAGTGTGTCAGACCCACAAATACCGGGGGGGGTCCCCAAGGTCCCCATTTCCACCCCTGACCCCCCTCAGAGCATCCAGACCCACAAACACTGGGGGGGACACCCAGGACATCCCACCACCCGCCCCGGGGACACCTTTGGGGTCCCCCCCAACCCCTCCCAGTGTATCCCAGGAAAACGGGGGAGTCAAGGGGGTCCCCAAGGAAATGCGGGGGTCTTCCCCCCCCCCCAAACCCCCTTGGGAGCATCAGACCCACAAACACTCGGAGGGGGACCCAGGACATCCCACCACCCGCCCCGGGGACACCTTTGGGGTCCCCCCCAACCCCTCCCAGCGTATCCCAGGAAAATGGGGGAGTCAAGGGGGTCCCCATGGAAATGCGGGGGTCTCCCACCCCCCCCCCCAAACCCCCTTGGGAGCATCAGACCCACAAACACTCAGGGGGGGACACACAGGACACCCCCCTGGCCACCCCAGCAGGGAACCTTTGGGGGTCCCCCAAGGCCCGGGGGGGGGGGGTCCCGGTCGCCCCCAGACCCACCTGGCAGCGGCGGGAGGGGGCGGCGGGCGCGCTGCTGGAGCCGCAGCCGCCAGGACAGGCTGTCCCGGGCCAGGTCCCGCAGCGCCCGGCACACCCGGGGCAGGACCCGCCGCACGTCCCGCGCCCGCAGGAACCCGCAGATCCGCAGCAGCACCTCCGGGGGCAGCGACAGGAGCCCCCCCCCCGAGACCCCCCCGCCGCCGCCCGGCCCCGCCCGACCCCCGCCCGGGGGGGGACCCTGGAGGGGTCCCGGGGGGCTCTCGGGCTCTTGCGGCGGTCGCTCGGGGTCCGAGGGGGGGGCGGCGGGGGCGGGGGGCCCGTCCATGGCTGGGGGGGACGGGGGGAGGAGGATCAGTGCTGAGAGGGACCACCGGGAGACGGTGGGGACCCCCCTGGGTCCGGTGTTGCCCCCCCTGGGTCCGGTGTTGCCCCCCCGGTCCGTGACAGGGAGTGACCCCCCGCCGCGATTCCCCCAAACCCTCCCGTACGGGCATCCCCCCAACCCCAAATGCCCCCGGTACAGGGACCCCCCACATCTCGATCCCCCCGACTCTCCCGGTACCGAGACCTCCCCCCTATCCAGACCGTCCCTGAGCTCCCGGTACCGGGACCCGCCCCAACCCCGACCCCGCCCCACCCCACCCCAACCCCTCAGAGCCCCCGCGTCCTGATAACCCCCAATATCCCTGAGCCTCCCGCGACCCCTCAACACCCCCCAGACACCCCCGGTACCGAGACCCCCCGACCAGGTCCGCGGTACCGGGACCCGCCCCAACACCGACCCCATCCCACTCGAACCCCTCAGAGCCCCCAGACCGCCGTGTCCCGCACCCCGAGCCCACTTCCCAGCCCCCTAAATCCCCCCCCTTCCCGCACCGCCCCCCGCCCCCCCCGGTACCGGGTCCGGGCCCCGCCGCGTCCCGTCGCCACGGCCACGGCCGGACCCGCTTCCGGCGCGCCGCGTGCGCACGTGACCCAGGAACCCACCAATCAGCCTCGACCCTCGGCGTGACGCCATCAAAGCGGCGCCGGAAGAGACCCGCGCGCGGCCCCAGAGGGACCCACGTGCTCCCCGCGACCTCCCCAGGACCCCCCCACCCCACCCCGCGACCCCCCCATTGCCCCCACCCCGGAATAAACGGCACCGACACAGCGCACGGTCACCAACGGCCTTTTTTTGTGCCGCCCCGCGCGACACAACCTCGCCCCGTCCCCCCCATCCCACCCCCCCCCTCCCCCGCCCTGTAAACGGTAAAAAACGGAACGAAACGGGCAAAATCAAACACGTGGCACCGACTCGCTCACGACGAAGCACAACGGCGGCCGCCCGGCCCCCCCCGCGCCCCCTCCCTCCGTCCCCCCAAGCACGGGGCTCTCCACGTGTTGCTATGGACGTGTCGGGGGGAGGGGCGGGGGCTCCATGCTGGGGGGGGACACGGGAACACGGCGGGGGGACACAGAGGAACCGACCCCACCTCAACGGGAACGGGGACCCCCCTTTTGGGACCCTTCAGCCCCGATTTTTGCCCCCTCCCACCAGGGTTTTTGGGGCCCCGTTCCCCCCCCTCCCAGGATTTTGGGACCCTTCAGCCCCAGTTTTTGACCCTCCCAAGGGTTTTTGGGCCCCCCCTCCCCCAGGGAAACTGGGACCCCCCCCTTTTTGGACCCTTCAGCCCCGATTTTTGACCCTCCCAAGAGTTTTGGGGCCTCCCTAAGGTTTGGGGCATACCCCCCCACCAGGGTTTTGGGATGCCTCCCCAAGGTTTTGGGGGGTCCCTCTCAGAATTTTGGGACCCTTCAGCCCCGATTTTTGTTTCTCCCAGCAGGGTTTTGGGCCCCCCCCCAACGGAAACAGGGACACCCCCCCTTTTTGGACCCTCCCAATGGTTTGAGGGTCCCCCCAGGGTTTGGAGCCCCCCCTGAAGTTTTAGGGCCCCCTCCCCGGGTTTTGGGACCCTTTATCCCCGATTTTTGACCCTCCCAAGGGTTTTAGGGCCCCCCCCACGAGGTTTTAGGGCTCCCCCCTGCCACGGGCCCACCCCACCCCCTGCGGCCCCACCCGCAGCCCCCCTCCCTTTATCCTCCCCTGGGGGGGGGTCACACCACTCTCAGGACCCCCCCGGGACCCTCCCCGGGGGCCGTGGCAGGGGGGGGGGGACCCCACTCCCGCCCCCCCCCGGGGTCCCTCGGCCGCGTCCCCTTCGGGGTCCTGGCGCCGACCTGGGGTGGGGGGGAGAGCAGAGATTGGGGGGGGGTGTTCTGGCTGTGCCCCCCCCCATTTTTGGGGATGCTGGGCCCCCCCCGCACCTGTTTGAGGGGTCACCCCCTGGCTCAGACCCCGTAAAACGCCGCCAGTCGCTCCTTGAGGAGGGGGGGGAACTGCTCCGAAAACTGCTGCCAGTTCTCCTCGCCCACCTGGGCCTTGAAGCCGTGCAGGATCTTTGTGTTTGGGGGGGTTAAAAATAAAGATGAGAGCCCTGCTGAACCCCACCCCCCCCCCATTTTGGGGGGCTCCCCAGAGTACCCCCCCCGGGCCGTGGGTACCTTGTAAAACATGTCCCTCAGGTCGTCCTTGGGGCTCACCCAGGACGCGACGGCGTCGCAGAAGAAGATGAAATCCTGGGGAGGGGGGGAATTTGAGATCGAGGGGGGCAGGAAAATGGGGAGAAATTAAAGGGGGACACGCACATCAGCGGGAGGGTGAAGTAGGGGGGATGCAGA